TTCGACAATCGAGAGCCTCTTGAAATTCTTGTGCTCCTTAAGTTTCATCCAGGGATTTATATTGTGAGGAGAAATTAGATGCTAGTCACTCAGAAGGGTGAAAGGGTTGAATGTTTTAGCACAGTTCTCGAGCTCTCTGGGCCACTGAGTACATATAAGTATCCATTTGTCAAATTTGTCTTTTTTGTTCATTTGTACATGCTGTTATTTTCCTCAGACAATCCTTCGACTGTGCCTGGTGTTGACAACAGTGCATATTACTCCACTTCCAATTCACAATACCATGATGATGCGGAAGAGTTTCTACTGAGCGAAGTCTCGTCTCACTATGGGGATCTTTTGGTTAGTTAATCCAACTAACCATTATCGGTTGGGGTGTAGCCAAAGGGGGGGGGGGGGGGAAGAGAGTCCACTGGAGAGCCCGTGTACGCTCAACAACATGCAATTCTTAAAAATTAAGGTGGTGAAAACGTGCGAATGCAAAGAAAATGCATGGCAGAAAAATCCTTTCTATTGCTATATAGAATTCATTCGCCGCTATTATTACGGCGAAACAAGCCACTTGACGCAGAATGTACAGAAATCCGCGACCGCCCCCCTTCCCCTCTCCTTTTAAAGATCCTTCGTCTCTGATTGGTGCTCAAATTCTCCTTGCATTGTTAATACCGCACCAAACAGACCGTTTCTGAAAAGTATATAACTGATACTGTACACGACAAAATTCAAACTTTTCCCTCAATTCTTGGTAACAGATGTCTTCTGACTGTTGGTAGTGTTTCATGGATCTCCCTGGCGTGTTTAAGGTCACCTTATGTTTGATTCACAACTCAATGTATGTTTTCAGGGAATGGACAACAACGTCGAAGAGCATGAGGAGCTAGTTCAGCTTTGCGTGGATGCCATACAGAAGTGTGAATGCCCTGTTAAGAAGGCTTTGGAAATCATGTGCTCTGTAGGACGACTCTCGTATGAACTGAGCAGGCATTTTGATCAGGTGAGTTTGGAATTTTCGACTTAGGCAGTATAAAGCAATTTTCAGTTGAATGTCGAAAGTAATCAGAGATTTCGTTAGTTATGCTTCATTTTGTTCTGTGATTGGTCCAGAAAACTCGTGCCACCCTCTTAACCAATAAGATGCAAAACTAACAAACAATCACAAATTGGTCGCCCGCGTTTTCCCGCGCTTTAGGCAGTTTTGTTGGTTTTACTTCGAGTTCCTTTTGTCTCTTAATGGTATTTTCCTCTCTTCCGATTGGCCGTGGCGGGTACTTTGAATTTCGTTTTACGACACTCAATGGAAAAGCGCTTTAAGTCGTTAACCTGCTTTAAGAGTTTTAAGATCAAAGGTTGTCAAACCAGAGGACCACGGCTACTCAGAACAAAGAGAAATATCCGAAGTGAACAATGAAAATTCATAACACCCCGACCCCATTAACGCCCCGACCCGAAGCCGGTAAATTATTAGTAAAAATTTTCCTCGAAACAAGTGGGGAAAAGACTTATAAAAGCGTTGTTGTGAGGTAGACTCCCAGCTGCGCTAAGAACCAAACCTTTATTCATTTGACTGCAGGAAAAGGCGAATGCTCGAAACATCAGCTTTAGAACTCTTGACGGAGACCAATTGACACTATCAACTCAGTTGTTGAAACCAAATTTAAAAATCCCTCATCGATGCAGCAAAACAGTTTCTTTAGAATTTTATCCCCTTTATTCATTGACTGCCTGATATCGTTAAATTGCCCTTTCGGGAAAAAAAATTATTGTGATTCTCTTCCTTGCAGGTGATTGCTATAGACCACAGTGGTCGTCTGCTCGATGCAGCCCTGAAGATTCAGCAAGGAAAATCCTTGGAGATCACCAGCGCTCTGGACAAGCGTTTTTCCAGTATTCCTCTCAACAAGATTATAGCCGAAACTGAGAAAGTGCTGTTCCAACAGGTTAGAGGCTATGATTGTTAGAATCGGTCCCAATGGTCAATTCTTTTATTATTCGGATGCTACCGAATTGAAGGTCTCTCTCGCAGTCCTTTGGACTTGTCACGAAACTCGTTAGAAAAGAGCAGATTGCGCGACGTGACCAAACAATTAAAGGCTGCAAAGGAGATTTTTGTAGAATAAGTTGTCCTTCGTTTTTAACCTGCTAAATAGTTGTTGTTCGTGGTTTATTTTGAGTTAATAAAGGAAAGTACTTTCGGGTAAGATAATTTTGTTTGTTTGTTTGATTTCAATTGTGCAGTTCACCTGGCTGCCAAATGAGATTGGTGTTTATGACGTCATTGTCATGCCTTGCCTCCACCGTCTGGCCAATGTTAAAGGTAAGTGAACTCGCCTTTTTCCTGACAGAATTCAGTTACAAATGAGTGGGCGTCGGCCCATCTTAATGTCTGCGACTAGATTTATCCACCAGCTACTGGGATTCAACCTGAAATACTCTTTTACTTTAAAAGTCTTGACCTCCCAGAATTGATCGACATGTAACTTCTCCCTAGAATATTCATACAATATCCAGCAAGCAGGTAACGAGAATACTCAAACTTATTAGTGGGAAGTTTTTATCTTGATCTAAAAAATGAAAATGCTCGTGACTGATTTACAAGGAAATGGGTAGCAGCTATAGAGGAGAATTATAAAATCAGATTCTCAGGAGTTAAAGTGTTAACGGTCTGTTTATACAGATATAACCCATTTTCGCAAAATATGTCTGTGCTGAATTCTGGAATATCATGTAAAGTTCAAAAGCGAATTTTTTTTCATAATTACGATATGCCTTTACCAAGGGTCCACTAAAACCTGTGCAGTCACAACAGCCAATCGCAGTTAGGAATGACCCATGTCTTGAAAACTCGTGCGACCCTCTCAACTAATCTGATGGAAGACTGAAGCCAAACACCCCTTGGCCACGCGCGTTTTCCCGCGCTTCAGGAAGTTTGCATGGTTCACTTTGATTTATCATTGGCTTTTTTAAACTTTTACCTCTCTTCGTGATAACGTCAGTTTTGGAGTGGCTGCATTGAGTTGAAAAGGGCTCTAACGGTAAATGTGTTTTTCCTGTGTTTAGCTTGGTTGATTCGCCTGTGGGAGATCATCAATCCAAAAGGTCTGTTGATCATCAAGACCAACATCACATGGGATCTTGAATCACTGAAAGCTGTGCTTGGAAACAGGTGAGGGCTGTTTTAATTTTCCAAACGTAAATCTGTTTCTTCATGACGTCAGGCATAAATTCTGAGGTGATAAATTCTGGCCGGCAACTCTTATTATTATTATTATTATTATTATTATTATTATTATTATTATTATTATTATTATGCAATTACCTAATTGCACTGACGTGGAAAACTTCACTTATCAATGTTCTCTTTCCACCCTCAGATTTTCTCTTTTGGAGCTCCGCTTGGTGAAAAGCAAGCGGGAAGGACTGCGCAAGTCTGACATGTGCCACTCAAGTGTTACCATATGGAGAAGTAAACAGTAAATTGCGCTACTGAAACGTTGAGGAGAACAAAAGCATTGTTACGTTGAAACGGCACTGAAAGATCACTGAATATTCCGGTTTTTCCCTTTAATGGTTCGTCCAGGTGGCTGCTTGTGTACGATTTAGTCTGGGGGTAGACTTTTTCGGTGATCATTAATCCTTTTTATCCGACCTTACATCCTGGTATCACTCTATTCTGATTATCAGATAGGCACCTACCTGATTTTTTTTTTCTTGTAGCATGCGGCCTAAATGAAGTTGTCTTTTAGTTTGCCTAATTTTTCCAGTAGCTATAATTTTTTTCCATCATTGATTTTTCTCTAAGTGTTGTCTCCGTGAAATGGCATTGTTCCCACAACGAAACCTGGGGTCTCACACTCCATCAAGTTATAACGCCAAATATTCAGCATTTTAGGAATAAAAAGTACCAGTGTAGGAGTCTTTCGATATATAATCCTTCGATTTAAACGTGTAGTTTTGAGAAACTAGGAAAAATGTGTAATCGCTCAGGTCTTAATTTTTACAAGGCTAGAGTAACTGCATGAAGTATATTCAATCACAGTTGTGATCTAAATCAACGTTAGAGCGGTTTACATGAATGTCGTAAAACCAAAACCAAAGTAATCACAATGACCAATCAGAAGAGAGGAAAATACTTTTAAGAGCCAATGAGAACTCTCGCAAAACTGACCAAACTGCTTGAAGCGCGGGAAAACGCGGGCATCCAAGTCGTATTTGGTTTTAGTTTTGCATCTGATTGGTTGAAGAGTGGCGCGAGTTTTCTGGACCAATCACAGAGCGAAGTAAAGCAAAAAAAAAAAATTAACATTTATTTACATTTAAGATTAACGTTCTTTACATTTAAAGATTAAAAGTAAAAATTACTATTTACATTTAATAGAAAATTGCTTTAGGTAACTGCTTTGCTACTAAGTAGTTTTTAAACTATGTTTATTGCCATCAATAGATAGTTTATCTCTTTATTTCTAAAGTTGACGAAGTTATCAATAACGAATATGTTCAAGTTAGAAAGTCGACTCTAAGTTGACTGTAACTTACTTAGCCCAATGTGGGAAATTTATCTTATCTTATGTTGCGATGTTCGTGCCAATGACTCGAAAAGACGAAGTTCTACGAAACATCAGAAATAAATTGTGGTTACTTTAATTGAAATCTCTTGCTATTCATTAGTGAATCTCTGGAGCCTAATATAAAACCCTCAGCCTCCAAGGGCGACCAGCATCCAATTTCTCCCTACAGAATCATTCCTGAATCAAACATTAAAACGATGAGATTAAAGAAAATGATCAACTAAAGAAGCTCTTGATTGTTAAACAAATTCTCCTTGTCAGCTTCTCAGCAAATGTGTAGAGAATAGTATGAAGAATATGCATACCGATGTTAGGGAGTAAACAGTTGAGGATCTATCGTGCAGTCTCCGTCACGAGAGAGCCTACCTTGCTGTCAGCACTGCACGATACGCGTTTCTCCGCCAGGGATCTGGCACTAGACTCCTTGCTGGCGTCATTGTCTCGTATTTTCCCCAATTCCTGTGTGTCCTTCCCTGTCGTCATTTTCTTGTCGGTTTCAACTCTGATGAGTTTGATGGGTTGTGTGTCACTCCCCGTATTTTTGTGTTCCTTCTCAATGTCTGTAAATTCTTCGTCTGGCAATCCCAAACTGATTTTCGTTCTCGAAACGTTCGTCCTGGCGCTGCGGATATCATCATTATGAAGGTGATGATGACTCGTTTGAGATTTCACCTACCCATTTTCTTCAAACATTTTAAGTCCCTTCGTCGTCATCGTTATTTCCATCATCAATGGGGCGCCCGTGGTGCTGCCACCGTCACCAACGACCACCTTTCCAAACTTCTAACTTTTTTACGTATCCTTTTATTATTTCGGTTTTCAGCGTGCCTCCTCTTGGCTGGCTAGGAGTCTTTATTATCGAGTGTGTGTGTTTAGTTTTTTAGGTGTAGGTTCGAAGTTCGATTCCCCAACGAAGTTGGTGTCTGGTGACCCTCGTGTTGTGGTAAACCCAACCCTATAGACACGGGTTGGATTTAGTTTGGCAGGCATTGCACTGCCCTCACGGGAGCCTAGCTGTTCACCTCAAATATAAAAAGAACTTGACGATAAAACTGATGACCAATGTTCTTTCAACGACTCAAATTTAGACCATTCAATTGACTCTTTATGATGATGGTTTCCGCTCACATTCCTAAGAGTAACAAAAATGAACACGATAACCCTTGGACCCCCAGGAGTCACTAGGATCTAATTTCTCCTTAGAATATCACCCATGAATCATGTATTAAGGTCACAAGAATAAAGGAATGATCAATAACTTAGGAAGCTCTTGATTGTTAAACAAATTCTGTTTGTGAGTAGCTGAGGAAATGTGTGAGGAACAGTATGGAGAATTTGAAACAACGCATTTCTTTGACAGCTATCCCTGAGAGTTAGTATGTTCCAGGTATTCAATCAGTAAAAAAAAGAAAACGAGATGGTAAACGAACCATCGAAGTGATCATAGGCGCGATAGTGTTGCGTGACAAATACGCGTCAGACCGTTGCGTGACCTTTCACATTGAAAACCGCTGATTTTTTTTACCTGTGTTTCACCACGCTGGGGAAAGAAACATGGTGACAGTCACGTTGGAAGACACCTCGCCATTTGATGGGCAAAAACCCGGCACATCAGGCTTAAGGAAAGCTGTCAAAGTTTTCCAGCAACATCACTATACAGAGAATTTCGTACAATGTATTATAGACTCAATCCCAGTGGAAAAAAGGCGAGGATGTACTTTGGTTGTCGGAGGCGATGGAAGATTCTTTATGCGAGAGGCTGTTTTAATTATCGTCAGAATGGCAGCCGCAAACGAAGTATGTTATTTGTCTAGTCGTATTGGAGTATCCTGCGAGGAATTTCAAAAAAATCGGCCGTCATTTTTTTGTTATTTGTGAAGGTTTTGTTGTATAGATTGTTTGTTTTATAAATATTTTAATTTGTAGGTGAACTTTGAATGATCTCCTTTCTTGACGCGTGGCAACAGAAACGATTAAAAATATTGAAATGGTTTAGAATAAGGTTATCTACGTAACAGTAATTGTTTATTATTTAAATTTTCCTATGATTGGTCATTTGGAGCGAACAGTATCGCTATTAGGCAATCGCAAAAATTCCTTGAGGAATATTTTGGTTGACACGTTGATCAATGGTCAGGATGACAATTGGATTCCTGTCACCCCCTCCCCCCTCCCCCGCGCGTGTTTTTATGTTCATATATATTTTGATAAGGTCGTTTCTCTTAGTCCACACTATGATGAAGATTTGTAACCCACATGAGCATAATCTTGAAAGCATTTCAAACCAGACTAAGTTTGTGATAAACAGACCCAAACAGATTACATAACATATGCACCTTCAGATGAGAGTCTGTGAATTGATATTATGTTTTGAAAACTTCAAATGCTCCAGGCCACCTTGAATTCCAAACCAGAGAATTTGAGGACCATTTTGGTTAGAGAAGTGGGTGAGATGTCAACAAAGCCCCATACTTCACTATGCATACTTTTACAGTTCTTTGAGAAAGAAAAAATCATGTTGGTGATATGTTTTTGACGACTCTTTTTGTATCCAGATCGGCCAACTTGTTATTGGTCAGGGTGGCATCTTTTCAACCCCAGCTGTATCCTGCATTATTAGAAAAATGAAAGCAACAGGTTGGAATACATGCTTGTGAATATTGATAGTTATATGTATTATGATGCTTGCATATCCACTGTGCTCACTGTACTGGTTAAGCCTACTCAGTATCAACAATTATCCACCAAAGTGGAGGTGAATATTATTGGTGGATATTTAGCAAGCAGTGGTGCAATATGTCACATGCATTAATTTTCACCATTACTTTTTGCATTACTGCACTAGCTACTTTACATCATGTCCCAGAAAATTACAAGACAGGTCTCATGTAATAACCCTCGTCTATGTTGATTATTCATATCGAAAAGGAACAAAGCCAGCAGAGAAAAGCCAACTCAAGTGTTTTAATTTTTTTCATCTTTATCATTTTACACAGAAGAAAAAGAAACTTGTTCCATATAGTCTAGTAATAGTGACTTTAAAAAGGTTATCATTAATACACATCCACCATTAGATCAACACTGATTTTTTCATGAGTGCTTTTCATGTGATATGAAAATGAATGGGAGGGTTATGAAATAAATAAACCCCCTCTGGCCTGCTGGTGTATTGGCTGATAATGTCCTTAGCTGAGAGATTGTCCTAAAAATATCACATTGCCCCTTGAAGCTTCACTTCTCTGCCAAATTTTTTTTTTTGAACAATCTGTCAACTGCAGACATTATCAGCTGACATAACAGCTGCCCAAAGGGGTCTATTTCTTAAATATCTGTCACTTTCATGGACAGAGAGGTGAATATTTGAAAGGCTCAGAGCAAGAACGACCCCTTGATTTTTCGGCCATTTTTGAAAGTGTTCAGAAGTAGTTGAATTTTGGCATGTGGACTTAGTTTTACTTGATATACACTGTTTTGGTTTTTTTTTTTGCTGGTTTGCGCTTCATTTTCGAGAAATAACGTATGCAAAAAACCTTGAATTTCGTAGCGGCTTTCATTGAATGAAGCCGAAACAAAAGAAGCCTTTTGTTTCATTAGTATATATCACGTCATGGAAACTAAAAAGTCAGGTTATTCCTGTAAATGTAGGGAAACATATTCAGAAGTAAAACATTCTTGGGGTTAAAGGGTTGATGATACACATTGTACAGTGTATTCATTTGTTTTGTAGGTGGGATTCTTCTTACTGCAAGCCACAATCCAGGAGGACCTGATGGTGATTTTGGAATCAAGTATAACATTGAGAATGGAGGTATTGATAATTTTGTGAACCCTTCAACTTCCAAGATCTGATTGTTGATTCTCCCATCAAGCTGTGACACATTTCCTTGTAATTTAGTTACAAGAATTTGGTGTTATATCATGATAACAACCTCTAACTGATAAGTTTGAGTATTCTCATTACCTGTTTGTTGGATAGTGTATGGATATTGTAGGGAGAAGTTACATGTAAATCACTTCAGGGAGTTAAAGGGTTAATTGGAAACAATTCTCTATGAAGCTGTACTGACAATTTATAACCCTTTCACTCTGACTAGCAATATAAGCTCAACTGCCGACACTGTCTGCTAGACATTTCTTACAATATGAGCTCTAAAAATAGTTTGGTGATGAATTTAGGAGTGTCTCCTCGAACCGACATTTCCCTTTCCTCAAACTGTCTTTCTGTTTGAAAGTAGCAGTAATATTATAAAAAGAAATTTTTCATTCATCACTGCTTGGAGTGAAAGGTTTAAGATGTTTTTTGACTAAAATGGAATGTACATGTATCTGAATGTAGTATTAGTTTGGAGAATTTGGTGTTGGATTAACTAATAATTCCATCATTTATACTTTTCTTTATTCTCTTCACATGTCTGCTTGATATTGTTTTGATATCGTGAGGAGAAATTCTGTCTTGGTCACTCGTGGAAGTGAAGGGGTTCTGTAATAGATTGCATTTTCTACTGGTTTGTTTGCATAATACTGGTAACCCATCTGGGATGTTGGGAGAACACTAAAAAAGTTTGAAAATTGTGTGTAGGATGTGAAAGGGTTAAGGATTTAATGCCAGTACTTTTCCTTTCTATTAGGTCCAGCTCCAGAGGCCATCACCAATGAGATTTTCTCAAAAACAAAAACAATAAAATCATACAAAATCTGTCATGATATTACTGTTGATCTTGATACTATTGGAAGCCAATCCTGGGAGATAGAAGGACATACTTTCACTGTGATGATAAGGGACTCAGTAGAGGATTACACATTGCTCATGAAGGAGATTTTTGACTTTGATCTGCTAAAGACATTGATTGCTGGAACAGAAGGTCAAGCACCATTCAAGTTTATTGCCAGTGCTATGCATGGAGGTGGGTTTCACAATGAAATAAGTATTACTTTTATCTATAGGATAGTTTGGTTTTATGTTGATAACTGTAAATTGGCCTCTGCAGAAACTCTCCATTGTCACCAGTTTTCTCTCCACAAAATGAAAACTTGATCTTCCAGATTTGAAATTACTTGGAAATGGTATATGAATCCTGTAGATTTGCTCAAGTTGAATGGGTCTAATTTATCAGATGATGTATCTTTTTTCTTGTTTTCATCAACAGTGACTGGTCCATATTTGAAGAGAATCTTATGTCAGGAACTGGGGGCACCAGAATCTTACACTTTGAAGTGTGAACCTAAAGAAGATTTTGGGGGTAAGTGTGGCTTTTTTATTCCCCTTTAAGTCCCACCAGTGACCTAGATGAAATTTCTCCTTACACTGTCGGTACAATAACAAGCAGACAAGTAATGAGAATAAAGAAATTAAAATCTCAATAAGGGGATTATTGTTTGATCCAATTCCAAATTTTCCAAACTAACATCATATGAATTGTATGGCAGACAGTAAGGAGAATTACTAATGAGATCTTGGGAGTTAAAGTGTTAATATTTTGTCATTTGCTCATAGGGGGGTCTTGACACCTGACCTAATGCATCATGGGAATAGCATGTTGCCCTGGATGTTGATTAAATGCTTAAGGCTAAAATTTGGTGCGGTTCATTATCTGGATGCAGGAGTAACATTGAATTGTGTTATGTGATCTTGGAGCACAGTCACTGTGGTCTTTGACAGACTTGTTGTCAGTGGAATTACTCGTCCAGAAGTCAAGGATTTTTTGGGAATACATGTTTATTTTCCTAAGATTTTTACTGTGATTTGTTGATGAGTTATGTTTGTGGTTATCCTTTGCTTTAATTCAGGCCATCATCCTGATCCCAATCAAACATATGCCTCTGATCTTGTGGAAATGCTTAAAAAGGGAGAACATCAGCTGGGTGCAGCTTTTGATGGTGATGGGGTAAGAACTTCTTTGATAATCTTACTATAGGCCATTTTACAGTTGTGTACTTAGTTGCCAAGCCTTTGATTTGGAGAGAGGCTGAAGGTGACCTGGTTGTGATAGACTAGTATCTAGTTAGCATGAAAACAATTAAAGTAATTCACATTTGGAGAGCAACAAGGTTTGTATCGCAACAAGGTCACCCTTAGCCTCACTCACATTCAAAGGCTTGGCAATCAAGCACGCAACTATAAAATAGACTATTGCTGGGAGATGTGTTGGTGAAATGATTGAGAGCTCTAAGAGCCTCTTTATTTGTGATCATTTCCTTTATTCTCATGACCTTTATGTGTGATTCAGGGATGATATTGTATAGAGAAATTAGATGCAAGCTAGTCACTCTAGTGGTAAAAGGATTAAAATAATATTTAACTGTTCATTGACATAAGCCCTATATTCCACAGGATCGTAACATGATTCTTGGGCAAAATGGATTCTTTGTGACTCCATCAGATTCTGTTGCAGTTATTGCCGATAATGCTACATGCATTCCATACTTTGTCAAGACAGGGTTGAAGGGTGTGGCCCGTAGCATGCCAACAAGTGCTGCTATTGACAGAGTGGGACAGAAATTGGGGGTTGAATGCTTTGAAGTACCAACTGGTGAGGTCTGCTTATGTTACCTACTATATCCCTATTACTATTTATATGAATCAATACTCACATTTAAAACCACTTACCAAAGGATTTTTTTTTAATTACCATCCACTACAAATTATATAATACTTCACCACTTACGTACCAAATACTTGAAAGCAATACTTTTACACTGGTAATATGTATTTTGGTTAATGTGCGATAGTGTTAGTATAGGTTATAACATGATTTTGAGTGCAATTTGGTGTAATAAGCAAGAGTAAATTTTTCAAAGGCAATAAAATTACACAAGTTGGCAGGACAAGTGCAATTTTTTCATGATTCTTTTCATGATTTTTTCATGATTTTTTCATGTACATTATTAGGCTGGAAATTCTTTGGAAACCTGATGGATGCTCAGCGTTTATCACTTTGTGGTGAAGAGAGCTTTGGTACAGGATCAGATCACATCAGGGAGAAAGATGGTGTCTGGGCATTCCTTGGTAAGGATATAATGTTAAAAATAGTGGGAGACTCTGTATAGATTATCAGATGAAAATTTTTTACAGATTTCTTTTTTGTGGCTAGATGTCCAGAAATGCATGAATGCAGGAACAAAAATGGCAGATTTTATGAAATTTTGTTGAACTGAGTGAATGTTCATGGATTTGACAGTTTTGGCAAATTCATCAAAGAAGAATCAACTTGGTGGAATTGATGATTTTGATCAATTTTAGTCAAACTTGTCAAAGGGAAATCAGCTTAGTGGAATTGATCTTGGCAAATATCAGTCAAATTAGTCTAAGGGAAACCAGCTTGGCAGATTTGACGATTTTGTCAAATTTTCACCATTTTCGTTACTGCATGCATTTCTGGACACATCTCTAGGAATTGTTTACAATAAGCATCAGCCTGTGAAGTGAGGATGCAGCATAGCTGGTTGTAGGAGTAAGGTGCAAAGAGGTGATGCATGCATGTTGCTTTGCAGTGTTTGATTTATAAGCCTTTATGCATGACTTTGAATTGTGTGTTTCAGCCTGGCTGTCAATTATTGCAAGCAAAAAGATGTCTGTCCAGGATATATTGAAGGACTTCTGGAAGAAGTATGGAAGGGGATTTTTTGTGAGGTACAGTGCATGTGCAGTACTCTTCTACTCTTTAAGGTGCCATATTCATTTCATTTGATGACTTTGCTCTCATTAATGCTTATTTAATACAATAGCTTTCCATGACTCTTCCCTTATCCTTTAACACTCACAAGAGGCCAAGACAGTTTTTCTCCTTACAATATCAATACAATATCAATCAGACAAGTGATGAGAATTGAGAAAGATATCAATAAGGTGATTATTAGATGATTGAATGCCAAATTCTCTGAACTTACATCCTAAGAATTGTATGACAGACAGTTAAGGAGAATTACTTAATATGAGATCTTGGAAGTGAAAAAGTTAAGGCTGCAATGTTACAATTAGTCCATGTTGATAAATTTACCCTGAATTTTTCAAGGTTTGTTGATTTGAATTCATGGTTATGGTAATTATCTTTGTTAATTTAAATCAATTGTGTTTCTGTTTGGTTTATTCAGAGCCCTTTTGCAATTGACTACTCCAGGAACACTAATGATACTTTATACTGAATATAATTGCTTACTGACAGGTGTGATTATGAGAATGTAGAAGCTGAGGGAGCCAAAAAGATGATTGAATTGCTAAGACAGACAGCCAAAGATGAATCTCTGGTGAATAAATCTTTAACAGGAGGCAGTGGCCAGGATCAGAAGACATACCAAGTGAAGTCAATGGATGACTTTTCCTACACTGATCCCATTGATGGAATTGTGACAGAGAAACAGGTAAACTGAATGCTAGATCTGATTGTTAATTCTCCCCTCTAGCTGCTACACATTTCTTTGTACATTAGTCATGAGAACTTGGTGCTAGATCAAGGTAGCAGCTTCTACTTGATAAGTTTGAATATTCTCATCACATGTTTGTTAAATCATGTATGAATATTATAGGGAGAAGTTTCATGTTAATCACTTCTGGAAGCCGAAGGGTTAAGTTGTTACTGTTTTTATACAGAAATATATTTTTTTGTCATTAAAGAAATAAATTGAAGGTCAGGAGTGCGATTCCTTATGGCAATGCACTCAGATTTTATTCTCTGTCCCACACTCATTGTTGAGAGGTGTGGGTTGGAGACAAAGTTGGTACAGACTTTACCTACCTCTGCCCATGACAAGACAAAGGACATCATTCATTATTCATTACAAAGCTCTTATACTTGATTTATTTCTTTGAATGTATTTTGTTAATAATTTAACAACAACAAATGAATTGTTTAGGTTTTTTGTAATGTATTCTGAGACATTTTTTTGTTATCATGGCCCCAGATAGCTAATCTACATCTATTGTATGTTGTCCATTTAATGTTTTAACTCCCATGGGTGATCAAGACAGAATTTCTCTTTACATCATCAGTACAATATCAAGCAGACAAGTGATGAGAATAAAGAAAAATTAATACCAATTAGGGGATTATAAGTTGATCCAATACCAAATTCTCCAAACTAACATCACAAGAACTGTATGGCAGACAGTAAGGAGAATTACTAATGAGATCTTGGGAGTTAAAGGGTTAAGGAACTGAATAGCAGTCTATTGGTGATTCAAGAACTGTGGAACCAGAGTTTGGGCAGCTGACCAACCAAGCTCCTTCCCCAATATTGCTAACAATTAAAATCAAGACCCTTTCAGGTGCATCTTCTTTAGGCATCTGCTTCTCAACTCCCTGATTTATTTAATAGTCCATATCTTGTCCGTTTTGGCAGTTCATGAACCAGATCTGTCACAATAGTTCAATGAATTGGGGTCATTGATGTGTACTGAATTAAAATTCATTGCTTTTTAAAAAAATTGTCTCTAGCATAAGTGATGTGAACAGTCCTAAATGATTCTTCATAGGGGGTTTGCATGATTTTCACTGATAGATCATGTGCTATCTTCCATCTGTCACAATAGTCCAAGAAATTGGGGTCACTGATGTGTACTTATGAACTTAAATGCATTGTTTTTTTACAAAATTGTTTCTGGCTTAGGTGATTAAAACAGTCTTTAATGATTCTACACAGGGGGTTCGCATGATTTTCACTGATGGATCACGTGTCATCTTCCGTCTGAGTGGCACAGGAAGTGCTGGTGCAACTATTCGTGTTTATGTGGAAAGTTATGAACCAGATGAATCTAAACATTTACTTGATGCTCAGGTATGGATTTTTACCACATTTACATGTCATGCTTAGAATCAGCACTGCATGAAAACTGGTGGCAAAAGAGCTGAGAGGAAAGATGAAGGGTTAACAACGGAAACACCAGCTTTAGAAACTCTTTACAGTGGCCAGTTTACATTATCAACTCAGTTGATTATACCCCCCTCTGATGCAGCACCATAATGTCTTTCAAAACTTACCCTTGTTATTCATGAGGAAAGATGGCATACACAGCTGAAGTTATAGAGTTTCACTTACCATCGCTCAACTGGGTTTTAGCCTTATGCTTACTTGTAAATCTAGTTTTTATCCAAGGTGCCAATGAAAGTTTTTTATTTGCATAATTGATGGATTTGGTTAGCTGAGACATTGGTACTGCCTGAAGTCTTAGGCAAATGTGAAATTTAAATCTTTTGTTGGTGGATAAATTTTGATAACAATTAAAAAAAAGGAATTATGATCAGATTCCTTTCAAGGAAAGAAGAGCTCTCTGAAATGTCCCCTGCCCCCAACATTTAGCTTCACAGCTCAGTTAATAGTAGCCCCAAACTAGCATCTAGGGGCACAGATTTGACTCCCCTTGAAGCCTAAATTTTTTCAAGCTTTCTTCCTGCAACCAATTCATTTGTTGCTCAACTGCCAGGATCATTGCTTTACTTGAATACATTCTCTTTGTAGATTGTTCTCAAACCCCTACTAGACATAGCACTCAAAGTCTCAAAGCTGCAAGAGTTCACTGGCCGAGAAATACCTACTGTTATAACATAACACAATGGACAAGTGCAACTGACACACAGATAAATGTTCCACAAGAAGGTACATACTGTTGAACAGAACAGATTAATTTGTCACCTCAACACAGATATGGATTACCATGTTGGTTAGAATTGCCTTCTATATATTTTTCAATGTTAAACTTTTGGTGCTGAAGTGGAGTTTATTGAAATATTTATTTTAGTTAATGTATTTTTTGGGTCAAGAGAGCAAAAAATTTCAGTTTGTAAAGTTTTTGGTTTTGCTCATGAGCAATCACAATATTAGACCTGTAGGAATCACTACTTTGTTTTATTTTCACAGTGTGATTTTATTGAGAGGTGATGTTAGGGAGTGAATGAAAATTGAGCTTAAAATGCTTTTAATTTTACATTTGTTAGTAAACATATAGCCTTTTTTTCACTGATGTAATGAGAAACATTTTTCTGGAATACATAAAATAATTATAAGTATCACTAGGGAAAATTATTTACAGTGCGTCATGATGCAAGCTGGTGATGGAGGAGATTTTTAGTCTTATCAAGACTCGAGGCCATGAGAATAAAGGAAATGATCACCAACTAAAGAAGCTCTTGATTGTTACACAAATTCTCCTTTTCAGCAGCTTAGAAAATGTATGAAGAACAGTATGGAGAATATGCATACTGATGTTAGGGTGGTAAGGGTTTTAAATCAAAAAGTAGCCAGGAAATACAGTCATGAATGTGGTAATGAATTAACTTTATTAACCCTTTAACTCCCAGATCAAATTTGAAATTCTCCTTACTGTAAACCATGCAATTCATATAATGCTTCTTTAGAGAATCTAGTGTCAGATCAACTAATTATCCCCAAATTGATTTTTTTCTCTATTCTCATCACTTATCTGTTTGATATTGTATTGATATTGTAAGGAGAAATTCTATCTTGGTCACTTGTGGGAGTTAAAGGGTTGATAACAATTATTATTAATTAGTAATATCATTAGCTGTTACTAAATTCAATAAATTTTGTGAATGTATTGTGCACCTGACAGGGACAGGAAATAATAAACTACTCAATTTCTATATCAAAGTTCTTTTTTTTTAATTCTATCCTATTAATAGCAGTTACAGGTAAACTCCTCATTAGAGCCAACAGTTTGATATTCAATTTCTGTTAATTAAAGTTCAAGTATAGTATAGATGTCTAATTTTATGGTTGATTATAGTTGGTTCTTTTTCCAACTGTACCCAATAATTACATCTTGGGAAATAAAAAACAAATTCAATAATCTATTATATTCTTATGCATTTATCTTTTAAAAAATACCAGCTTTGCTCAACAAATCCATTGACAATTGTAACTAATTGGACACTTATCAGTGCAAAAACATGCTGATAAAAATTGAAACAAATGAATAAAACACTCTAACTTATTAGCAGTGAAAGTAGCTACTGGCCAAACTGCCCATTTCTATTAATACTAAAATATATTTTCATTGTCCTAACCATGACAGTTAACCCTCAAACCCTTATAAGTGGCATGCATACAATATCCTCCCTGAATCATACATAAAGACTTTTAAGGTCATGAGAACAGAGGATTTGATCACCAGCAGAAGCAGCTTTTGATTATTAAACAAATTCTCTTTGTCAGCACCTAAGGAAATGTATAGAGAACAGTATGGAGAATATGCATACTGAAGTTAGGAAGGAAAGAGTTTACATACTTTTGAGTGTGTCAAGTGGTTCTCCTTAAAAATTAATCAGCCTGAGTTTTTTAAACATTTTGTAACTTATCTTAATACATCTGTCTCAGTAAAAAAATTTTTATAGCATTTATTATCATATCATACATACATCTGCTTGTGGAGAGTGCTAAAAATGGATGAATATCAAAGAGCAATGTGTGTGCTCCCATAAAAATCAAGAACTCATCTTAACTGCTATTAATTGATTCTAGTTTCTAATTATTTGGTTTTTATTATTTCTTTGACTGTTTAGAAGTTTAAGACCATGACTTTCATTCTGTTGCCAAAGCAGTTGTGTTCCGGTATGAATCTAAAAGTTCTTTCCGATTGGCTGGTAAGGTAGCAAAGTATTTCTTTTGCTCTTCAGAATACTTTACTTCAGAGGGAACGATATCCCTGAAACTCCAATCCTGCCAGTGAAAGTTGAACTTCTCTAGAAGTTCAATACGCTTCTCATCTCCTTGCACAACATCTTTGGGTTCCTTTTGTTGCAAGTCAGGCACCAAGACATTCTTGAAGATGATCACACCCCGCATTGCAAACCAGCCCCCATACTTAGCATGAACAGAAACTCCACAAATCTTCTTCTTGGTGTCCCAAGGATCTTTAGTTACACTATTACGTTGGTAGTAATAGGCTCCACCTGCCACATGTGCAGCTGTCTGGACTAAAACCTTGGGTCTGCGGTTAGGAAGCATCTCAAAATCATGAATGGCTTCAATGTCGCACTCAGGACCAAATTCTGCCTTAACTTTTGCAAACATAGTGGCCATGAATTCATCAAGTGGATCGTTCTCTCCAATGCAAGCTGTTGCCTTGATGAATGGTTTAAATCCACGGTCGAACATCTGTGGAGTGCTTATGATCACAAGAGCAAGAGTGTCATAGGGGTAGGGTAGGTTGAATGCTTCGTGTTCCAGTTGATCATTGTACCAGCCAATCTGTGAATGGTATTGCTGAATGAGTTAACCCTTCAAGTCCCACTTGTGACCAAGACCCAATTTCTCCTTACACTATCAGTACAATATCAAGCAGACAAGTAACAAGAATAAAGAAAAAATATCCATTGATCCAATTCCAAATTCTCCAAACTTGATTTTGTGGGTATTAGTGGCTAGAATTTGGGTTTATATCGATAATTAGTAATTAATTAGTATTAATTAGTAATTTTCTTTATTTTAAACATCTGTCAATGTATTACACTAAAAAGAGATTAATTAGATCGCTGGGTGAAGAATGTAGTCTAATAAGTAATATGGAATCTAGTCCATGAGCCAAAGGTTATATTTCAATGTTTTTCATAAACCCTTACAGCTGTTCTAAGCCTTTCATCCTGTCCAAGATCCTATCTCCTGGGAGGTAATTGCCCATCACAAGGCCGCAAAATCTTGCAAAAAATTAACTAAGCTGAACTTAAGGTAGATAAAGGTAGTGACTGTACTCAGAAGCTTTCTGATTCTGTCGATTTCATGCTGATCTGAGCACAGTTCAACCCTGATAAAACAGAATTGGAAAATACTAGTGATTGTCCGTCGCTTGTTACGTTGTAATACTTAATTCATTCTTGTACAATAGCTACTCATGAAAACCAACAATAACAAACCGCTTACTCTCACTTGAAAATGGTCAAAACAAACTGCGGCTGAATTCCACAGCTGGAGAGGTTGTGATCAGTTTTAGGACCAGCTAATTCAAAGTAATCTACAGCAGCTGCTAAGGAGCATTAACGTTCTTTATCTTCCCGATTTGTCAACAATTTAATTAAATAGAGCTACAAAGGTCAGAAGTTTCCCGTGCAAAATAAACTGAAAGATACACGTGTGATAACAACATGCTTTGGATGAAAGTGTAAACGTAAACAAACATTAAACGGTAATTTTTTTAACCGTAAAATAAGGTCAAACTTAGAGTAGTTGGCTTAAAAAAAGGCACTTTTCCTTAGTCGTTTGGAAGAGAAATCATTAAGATCGCGCTGAAGATTTCTCTAAAGAGGGTAAAGATTACAGTGGCGTGCAACATCATTGCATGCCAGGCCGAACAAAACATCATCATTAACAATCTGTCAGTTGATACTAATCACTCGAACTAATATCTCAAATACAGTGTCATTCCCCACAAAGAGAACTCTACCTTGAAAGAGTGCGATTCCAAACCAACGGGCGACAAAATCGCTGAAACTTTAGCAAGGACACTTTCAACAGCACAGTCAGCCATTTTGAATCGTAGTTGGCACCAGTCTTTGCTCAACCATTTCGTCAAAAAACATAATGTACAAGTATTTGAAATGTCTTGTCCATGTCATTACAATAGCATGTTGTCTACAAAGTCGGCCTGTGAGTTGTGCATGCGGTGGAAATTTACCCTGGGGTGAAATCATTACTTTACCTCAAGACCAACACGGAAAATATAAGAACAATCTGGAATGCACTTTTCAGGCTAAATTTCAGGCAAGCATCGCTCCCAATGTATTAGAACTCTCGTGGTATGACTTCGAAATCGCCGGCATTCTACCTAACTGCGACACAGATTATGTGGAAATTTTCGTAAGGTAACTAATCCAGTTATGTTTGATCAATTTTAAGCCTTTAACCCCTGAGATCTGGTGGCTAATTCTCTCCTCTCGCTGCTATTCGTTTCTTTGTAAATTGGTTATGAGAATTTGGTGATCAGTCAGGATAAGATCTTGTGCCTGATAAGTTTGAGTAATCTCACTACCATGACAACATCAAAAAAGCTGGGAAAAAAATAGCTCACCTCAGTTTGAAGTGAATAAGAAATTATTTCTGAGAATAATACATCCCAGGCTAATTGTTTTTTCTTTTTCGCAAATTGATATTTTTAAACTTTCGGAAATATTTTATACATACACATGGAGGAAAGTTAAGGTAGTTCTGACCCTTTTTACTGACAAGTTAAATTTCTAGTAATCAATTTAAGTAACCATCCTCACAGGTAGACTGCTTTTTAACCCTTTCATTCCCAAGATCACATGAGTAATTCTTCTTACTGTCTGCCATACAATTCTTGCAATGTAAGTTTGGAGAATTTGGTATTGGATCAGCCAATAATCCCGGCCCCTAATTGAAATTTCTCTTCATTCTCATCACTTGTCTGCTTGATATTGTATGAATATTGTAGGGAGAAATTCTGTCTCGGTCACTCATAGGAGTTGAAGGGTTAAGCAATGACAGAAGAGAGGCCTGAAAAAACCAGGCTTCGACGGGATTCAAACTTGTACGTTCTAGATACTAGTTGGGTGGCACTATCAACTAAACGAAGCCACACGTTAGGAGCAGGGCACATTTAGATACTTTTCTCTTGTTTGTTCTTTTTCAGCTGTTCATACACATCTATCGGGAAATTTTGCGGCAAAAGAAAGCCGAGTGCTGTAATCTCCCCCGACCGGTGTCTTCGACTCGTGTTCCATTCGGATGATGCCGTAGCAGGTCGTGGATTTAAAGCCAGACTTATTGTTGCAGCGAAACCCAGAGGTTTGCTTCACCTTTACAATCGCAGGTAAATTTTGATAAATACGTTTTAGGACTGAAAGAAATTTTAAACTGGTGTCTTGAGTGACCTGAGATTAAATTGGTTTATGACTGGTCAGGAAAACTTGTGCCACTCGAGGTGTTTCTCGACAAATCACATTGGCTCTTGGTGTATAACACCATATTTCTGATTGGCTGTCGTGTTAACGTCAGTTCAACCTGTGAACAGGTCTCCATTCGCCGCCCGTGGGAAGATCGGAGACGAGTCGGGGAGAGGTTTGCTAGATCACTTGCAGACTCCTTGCTGGGTAGTGTTGCGCCAAGCCTTAAACTTTCGCAGGCAAAGAAATGCACGTACTGAAGTTCTAATAATGAGGTCAGATTTGGCGTTGCAACATTGACGTAAAAAAGGCTTTGACGATATCTTTGCGTTGCAAATCGGTTAAGCTTAGTTAGGTGTCGACAAGGATCTGGGATTTAATTCGTTTTTCTTTTCTGCTGCACTCTTTTCTTG